CTATATTCAGATGAAAGGAATGAAGACACAGAGACACAAAGAAAAATCTGAACAAACAAGGCTTACAAATTTTTCCCCAATCTCTTACCATCAGACCATACCCACTTTGTCCAGTCACACTTCTGTAACAGTGGAGGGAGTCTTAGCATGACTGACTCCATTTTGTCTCTGGCCACCCCCTCCACCACAATAATATCCTTTAGGTGCCAAACCTTCTGCTTACCTTTGCATGTATACCATCTAATTATAGGAGGAGTTTGGTTTATAGTTCAACTTTAGAAAAAAACGATAGTAGTCCCTTTCCCAAAACTAACCCAAGAGGAGATAAGGATATACATACAAATAAAAATGTTATGTTAAAGATTTATAGAAACATTGTGACCTGACCCAGGACAAAGAAGTTTTCCAACCTTCTCGGACCCTTGCTGGTGCCCAGATACCTGTGGTCATCAGTTACCTCTCTTTACCACAACCAACCTTCTCTTCCCCCTGCCCTTACAATGGTTTTTTTTTTTTTTTTTTGAGACAGAGTCATGTTCTGTCACCCAGGCTGGAGTACAGTGGTGCAATCTCACTCACTGAAACCTCCACCATCTCTGGGTTCAAACAATTCTGCCTCAGCCTCCCAAGTAGTTGGGATTACAGGCATTCATCACAATGCCCAGCTAATTTTTGTACTTTTAGTAGAGATGGGGTTTCACCATATTGGCCAGGCTGGTCTCGAACTCATGACCTCAAGTGATCCGCCTGCATTGACCTCCCAAAGTGCTGGGATTACAGGTATGAGCCACCACACCCTGCCAAGATGGTTTTTTAGAACACTAATCCGCCATCTTCTCAGTTTTCTGGCTCTCAGAACAAAGTTGTTTTCCTTACCCCTTTTTGGCATCGAAATGGTTGGGATCAGTTTCGTGGAAGACAATTTTTCCACAGATTTGGAGGGGGTGGATGGCTTCAGGATCAAACTGCTCCACCTCAGATTATCAAGAATTAGTTAGATTCTCACATAAGGAGCAAGAGACCTACATCCCTCACATGCACAATTCACAATAGGGTTTGTGCTCCTGTGAGAATCTAATGCAGCTTCTGATCTGATAGGCAGAGCTCAGATGGTGTACTAGTCTGTTTTTATGCTGCTGATACAGACATAGCCTAGACTGGGTAATGTATAAAGAAAAATAGGTTTAATGGACTCGCAATTCCTTGTGGCTGGGGAGGCCTCGCAATCATGACGGAAGGCAAAAGGCATGTCTTACATGATGGCAGACAGGAGCAAAAAAAGAGAGACAAGAGCCAAAAAGAGCCAAGCGAAAGTGGTTTCCTCTTATAAAACTGTTAAATCTCATGAGACTTATTCACTACCACCAGAACACCATGGGGGAAACCACCCCCACGATTCAATTACCTCCCACCAGGTCCCTCCCACAACATGTGGGAATTATGGGAGCTGCAATTCAAGATGAGATTTGGGTGGGGACACAGCCAAATCATATCAGGTGGTAATGTTCCCTCACCCACAGCCCGTCTCCTGCTGTGTGGCCTGGTACCCAAGAGGCCATGCACCAGCACCTGTCCAATAGCCAAGAGGCTGGAGACCCCTGAGTTAGAGAAAAGAAGACTCCTGCTCGCAGTCTGTCATGGAGATTGCAATCTGCCCTGGAGATTGTGGTCCTCTCTGGGGATTACATTTCACCCTGAGGGTTGCAGCTGATGATTAAAAAAATTCAAAGAATGTGTCTGGGGGTGGTTAGGAAGCCCTCCTATCTCAGTACTGTAAGAGCCCTCCCATGAATCGTTTTAGGGCATGAGTAGGGGGCTGAGCATATCAATCTGCCCCCATCAATAGCTCTAAGAAGTATATAATGAATAGCGCCAAGGGCAATGAATACTTTAGTGTGTTAGCAATCATCAAGTGTAAACAGATTTACCTTTCCTCTGAAGCTCATAAAAGGGAGGAGGAAAAAGGGTGAGGCCTGTAAAATCACACTTAGACAAAAGAAAAGGGAAAAATACACAGAAGTTTACAGAAAAGGCCTGCAACTGAAAATGATCCCATGAAGGATCTGGGTGGGGAAAGTTAGATATCCTTAATACAGTCAAGACAAGAAACTGTATGTGATCAACTTGGAGAAGTAACAAATATTATAAAGTGAAAACACAGCTGGGCGCAGTGGCTCACACCTGTAATCCCAGCACTTTGGGAGGCTGAGGCAGGCAGATCACTTGAGTTCAAACGTTTGAGACCAACCTAGCCAATACAGTAAAACCCTGTCTCTACAAAAAATACAAAAATTAGCTGGGCATAATGGCAGATGCCTGTAATCCCAGCTACTCGGGAGGCTGAAACAGGAGAATCACTTGAACCCAGGAGGCGAAGGTTGCAGTGAGCTGAGATTACACCGCTTGCCACTACACTCCAATCTGGGTGATAGAGCAAGACACTGTCTCAAAAAAAAAAAAAAAAAAAAAAAGAGGGAGAGAAAACAGGTTAAAATGAAAGCAAAAAAAAAAAAAATCAGATTAGTTGATGCTCTTTCCTTGCAAATAAGTAAATAAAGAAAAATGGAAGCAGGAGAAGAGAAGGGATTTATTGCAAGAATATGAGGTGATTTTCAGGCTTCAGGGGCAGCCACAGAGCAGGGCCAGAGCTAGAGCGCTGTGGGGAAGGGGGTGGGTGTTCTCTCTGAGCTTTCTCTGTCCTGCTTTCTCACCAACAATGGATATGATGAATATCTTTCATTTCAGTCCCAGTGATAGGAGAAACAGTGGTATCTCATTTTAATATGTATGTCTTTGATTCTTAGGGAAGTTGAGCATGTTTTCATGTTTATCAGTATTCCCATTCAGCCTAAACAGGAGCGCCTTGAAAAATGAGATGAGAGAATAGAAAAGAATTTTGAAAGAAAAAAAAATTAGAGGCTGCTGTGTTACTCTACCTTTGCAAGAAATGAAGAGTGGTTTATATTGAATACATATTTCAAATAAATTCTGAAGTTCATCAGGTTTCTATTAAAGAAGAGCAATGTGCATATATACAGAGACATTTTAGGTGATGAAATTGCAACCAAGAAAATAAGCACTTGATGTCTAGATATGATAAAGATCAGTTATTCAGCCCTAAACCCAACCTCCCCCACTCACCGAAAAAAAAGTTAAAAAATGGTAAACCTGAAAGGTATTTGATGTCCTATGTCATCTTTACTAAACTGTCTTTGATACTGGGAGACTTTGCCTCCTTCAGGGAAAAAAATGTATGGTTCACTTAGCTCTAATTATGGTACAACAGACCCTGCTTAGCTTTGTGGGATACATTCCAAGACCCCCAGTGGATGTCTGAAACCATGGATTGTACTGAACCCTATGTAGATATACTCTGTTTTTTCCTATTCATATAAATCTATGATGTTTAATTTACAAATCAGGCACAGTAAGAGATCAACAATAATAGCTGATAGGGTAAGGCACAGTGGCTCACACCTGTAATCCTACCACTTTGGGAGGCCAAAGCAGGTGGATTACTTGAGGTTAGGAGTTCAAGACCAGTCTGGCCAACATGGTGAAACCCCGTCTCTACTAAAAATACCAAAAAAAATTATCGAGGCAAAGTAGCAGACAGCTGTAATCCTAGCTACTTGGGGAGGCTGAGGCAGAATTACTTGAACCCAGAAGGTGGAGGTTGCAGTGAGCCAAGATTGCACCACTGCACTCCAGCCTGGGCAACAGAGCGAAACCCTATCTCAAAAAAAAAAAAAGGCAAGCCTTCTCAGGGTTAATTTCTCAATGGCATAATGAGGAAAAAGCTGAATTATATTGACTGCTCTTCCTCTTAGAATAAAGATGATGTAGGCCAGGCACGGTGGCTCAAGTCTATAATCTCAGCATTTTGGGAAGCTAAGACAGGAGGATTATTTGTGCTCAGGAATTCAAGACCAGCCTGGGCAACATACAGAGAGCCTTTCTCTACAAAAAAATTTAAAAATTAGCCAGGCATGGTGGCCTGCACCTATAGTCCTAGCTACTCAAGAGGCTGAGGTGGAAGGATCACTGCAGTCCAGGAGGCCAAGGCTGACGTAAGCTCTGATTGTGCCATGTGCATTTCAGCCTGGGTGACGGTGCGAGACTATGTCTCAAAAAAAAAATAAAGACGATGTGATTTGCATGTATCTTCAATATTCTTCCAATTGGGTATCACTTTTACAGTATTCTTTTACATACTGTTTTCCCAATTGAGACTATATCTTCACTGTAAAATGTATTATTGACCCTGAGCATGAGAGAGAGGAAAGAGAACAGAAGAGGCTCTCCCCCAGTAAGGACTCCCCCAGCTGGCAGAGCGGTTCACTGGGCCTCCCCCAACCCCGCCCCCGGTGGGAAAGTCATAAACCCAACTGGGTAAAAAGGTCTATCTTAAGGGAATAAGTCAAAGACCGCTAGCATTTCCAAATACTCTGCCAAATGGTTAATTACAATCAGAAAGAAGCATTCTTCACCACTTAATACAAAATTAAGCACCTTGTCTCCCAGAGAAGAGTAGTATAAAACAGCACCCAACTGGCCAGGTGCAGGGGCTCATGTCGGTAATCCCAGCACTTTAGGAGGCCGAGTTGAGGGCATCACTTGAGGTCAGAAGTTCGAGACTAGCCTAGGCAACAGAGTGAAACCCTGTTTCTGCATAAAAATACAAAAATTCGGTGAGTATGGTAGTATATCCCTGTAGTTCCAGCTACTTGAGAGGCTGAGGTGGGAGGATCGCTTGAGCCTGGGAGGTCGAGGCTTCAGTGAGCCAAGATCACACCACTGCATGAGGTATAAACAACACAAATCTCATAACAGACTATTTCCCCCTAGTTCCTCATAGACCACATATTTGGTCTTCATAAGATACTCCAACACATGTGATGCAAATCTAATGTTAAAAATGATTTTTTTATAATGCTAATTGCCTGACCAGAGACAACACACAGGATATCTTATTCTGGTTTCTGATTTCTCTTTTATAGGAAATCTTTTCGTGCCATCTGTAGAACAATAAAGGAAGCCAAATGGAGTCTCTGCGCCTCCCTCTCTGAATCCAGGCAGCAATGCCACTACCGTGTTAAGGAACCGTTTCTGATTTAGAAGGGCCTAGATATGTAAGCTCATGAAGCCAAGCATCCGAAAGCAAAACTCAACATCAAACACGTCCAGAACCATGACGTGCACTTGCCAATTTACCCTTGGAGTGGGAATACTTCTGTCATCTGTATAACATTTAAAAAGAAAATGCCCATTAAGAAGGAGAAGGTAAGAGTAAGCAAATATTCTTTGCACATCTGAAAATTTTCCTGTTTCGAAAACTTGAAACAGTTGGAAATTCAGCTGGTCAGAAAGATCTGAATTTAGACTCACTTCAAAGCAACCCAGCAAACACTGGCATTGTTTTCTAGGGGCTCCCCTTGCTCCTTCTGTCCCTCCTCTGTCAGAATAAGAACTTCAGACTGGGCATGGTGGCTCATGCCTACAATCCCAGCCCTTTAAAAGGCTGAAGTGGGTGGATTGCTAGAGCTCAGCAGTTCGAGACCAGCCTGGGCAACATGGCAAAATCCCATCTTTACAAAAAAATAGAAAAATTAGCCAGGTGTGGTGGCACACACCTATAGTTCCAGCTACTCAGGAGGCTGAGGTTGGGGGGATTGCTTGAATCCAGCAGGATGAGGCCACAGTGAGCCATGATTATACCATTGCACTCCAGCACAGCGAGACCCTGTCCCAAAATAAAATTTAGTAAATGAGTGCCGTCACTCACGCCTGTAATCCCAGCACCGTGAGAGGCCGAGGTGGGTGGATCACCTGAGGTGGAGAGTTCGAGACCAGCCTGACCAACATGGTGAACCCCATCTCTACTAAAAATACAAAAATTAGCCGGGCGTGGTGGCACACGCCTGTAATCCCAGGTACTTGGGAGGCTGAACCCAGGAGGCAGAGGATGCAGTGAGCTGAGATTGTGCCATTGCACTCCAGACTGGGCAACAAGAGGGAAACTCTGTCTCAAAAAAATAATAATAGATAGATAGATAGATAGATAGATAGATAGATAGATAGATAGATAAAGCAAGCAAGCAATAGTTTGGTAACAATGTCTGTTTAGGTAATTTCTCATCCAGGTGCTGACTTGTGCTGACTTCTCTCTTCAGTGATAGGAGTCAATCTTCCATGGTTTTGAAAAAAAGTCTCTTTTTTGGGGTGGGTGGGAAGGACAGGGTCTTGTTCTGTCTCCCAGGCTGTAGTGCAGTGATACAATCATGGCTTTTCGCAGCCTCATCTTCCCAGTCTCAAGTATTCCTCCTGCCTCCATCCTCAGCCTCCTGAGTAGCTGGGACCACAGATGTGTGCCACCACACCCAGCTAATTTTTAAATTTTTATTAGAGATGGGGGGGGTCTCACTATGCTGCCCTGGCTGGTCTTGAACCACTGGCCTCAAGTGATCCTCCCACCTCAGCCTCCCAAAGTGCTGGGATTACAGGCGTGAGCCACAGCACCCAGCCAAAAGTCTACACTTACAGCTGTTGATTCCCAAATGTCTTCAGCTCGAAATAATCTTTAGGCTCTTGTAACATGTTCTGGAGACCTTTAGATGAATAAATGAATGAATGGATGAACAAATGAAAGCACCAGTGAACCTTCAGCCCACCCCATCATTAGAAGGCAGAGGTGAGCAGCACAGATGAAACTACAGCCCTCGGGGTCTTCTCCCTGCTATACTCGAGCAGGATCATCTCCTTCTGCATGAATCTGAAGACCTCAACCCCAACAGCAAGGAGATGGGAAGCACAGGACGAAGACATATCTGAGCTAAGAGCCTTGAGTGGTGAGGAGAGGAAAAAAGGAGAGGAGAAAGAGCAGTTGAGTGGATACCTCCCAGACACTAGCAAAAAATGGTGTGAGGCCTGGAACCTGGGAAAAGGTGGAGTGAATCACTGTACCTGCCTGGCTGTGAATGCACATGTGGGATTTAATCACTCAAGAGGTGGATCAAGTGTGCACCTTGGGGCCGGGCATGGTGGCTCACACCTATAATCTCAGCACTTTGAGAGGCCAAGGCAGGCAGATCACCTGAGGTCAGGAGTTCAAGACCAGCCTGACCAACATAGTGAAACCCGTCTCTGCTAAAGATAAAAATTAGCCAGGGGTCGTGGCACATGCCTATAATCCCAGCTACTTGGGAGACTGATGCAGGAGTTTAAGACCACCCTGCCCAACATGGTGAAACCCTGTCTCTACTAAAAATACAAAATTTAGTTGGGTGTGGTGACAAACACCTATAATCCCAGCTATTTGGGAGGCTGAGGCAGGAGAATTGCTTCAACCTGAGAGGCAGAGTTTACAGTGAGCTGAGATGGCACCACCACACTCCTCCTTGGGCAACAAATCAAAAGTCCATTTCAAAAAAAAAAAAAGGGTGGGGGGAACGATCCAAGATGGCCGATCGCTAACATCTCGGGTTTGCAGCTCCCAGTGAAAGCTCAGAGAACGAGAGGACGCCACACTTTCAGACAAATTTTGGTCACTCACGGAGCAGAAGATTCCCAGTGGAGGAGCTCCATGGGTCGCCAGCGCGACTCTTGTGGCCGGCGCAGCGGTTGTGCCGGCACCTCTGTGTGGCAGCTCTTGGTGCAGAGTAAACGGGACTGGTTCCCCTTCTGACTGAGGTTTGGAGCTCCAGGAAGGCAGAGTCGCCTATTACGGACTCAAGAAGGAAGCCAGACTGGAGATTCCTGGGCAGAAAAGCACCATCAGTCTTAACACCGCTGTTTTGGCTGGTGCAGTGGGTTGCTCATATTTCGGCCCTGGGAATTAACAACTTGGACATCCACTCAGAGACCTAATTTGAAAGTTGGTAATTACAAAGACGACAGGTGGATAAATTTACAATCATGGGAAGAAACCAGCGTAAAAAGGCTGAAAATACTCAAAATCTGAACGCCTCTCCCTCTAAAGAGGATCACAGTTCTTCATCAACAAGGGAACAAGACTTGATGGAGAACGAGCGCATCCCATTAACAGAATCAGGCTTCAGAAGATGGATAATAAGAAACTTCTGTGAGTTAAAAGAACATGTTGTAGCCCAATGTCAAGAAACTAAGAACTTTGAAAAAAGGTTTGACGAAATCTTAATGAGAATAGACAACTTAGAGAGGAATATAAGTGAATTAATGGAACTGAAGAATACAATGGAGGAACTCCGAGAAGTATGCACAGGTTTAAACACTCGAATTGTTCAAGCAGAAGAAAGGATATCAGAGGTCGAAGTCCAACTTAATGAAATAAAAGAGAAGACAAGATTAGAGAAAAAAGGATAAAAAGGAAGGAGCAAAGTCTCCAAGAAATGTGGGACTATGTGAAAAGACCAAATTTATGTTTGATAGGTGTACCTGAATGCGACAGAGAGAATGAATCCAAGCTGGAAAATATTCTTCAGGATATTATTCAGGAAAATTTTCCTAAACTAGCAAAGCAGGTCAATATTCAACCCCAGGTAATACAGAGAACACCACAAAGATATTCCTCAAGAAGAGCAACCCCAAGGCACATAATCATTAGATTCACCAGGGTTGAAACGAAGGAGAAAATACTAAGGGCAGCCAGAGAGAAAGGTCAGGTTAATTACAAAGGGAAGCCTTTCAGACTTACAGCAGATCTCTCAGCAGAAACTCTACAGGCCAGAAGAGAGTGGGGGCCAGTATTCAACATCCTTAAAGAGCAGAACTTTCAGCCCAGAATTTCATATCCAGCCAAACTAAGCTTCACAACTGAAAGAAAAATAAAATCTTTTATGAACAAGCAAGTACTCACAGATTTTATTACCACCAGGCCTGCTTTACAAGAGCTTCTGAAAGAAGCATTACACATAGAAAGAAACAACCAGTATTAGCCTTTCTAAAAATATACCAAAAAGTAAAGAGCATCAACATAAAGAAGAATTTACATCAACGAATGGATAAAACAGCCAGTTAACATCAAATGGCAGTAATCCTAAGTTTAAATCTACTAAATCCCCCAATCAAAAGATACAGCCAAAACCCAATGGCATGTTACATCCAGACCCGTTTCACATGCAAGGATACACAAAGACTCAAAACAAAGGCATGGAGAAAGATTTACCAACCAAATGGAGAGCAAAAATAAATAAATTAATAAATTAAAAGCAGGAGTTGCAATTCTCGTATCTGATAAAATAGATCTTAAAGCAACAAAGATATAGTGGTAAAAGGATCAACGCAACAACAAGAGCTAATGATCCTAACACCCAGATACATAGAGACTTAGACTCAATGAGACAGAAAATTAATAAGGATATCAAGGACTTGAACTCAGATCCAGAACAAGTAAACTTAATAAATATTTATAGAGCTCTCCACTTCAAATACACAAAATATACATTCTTGTCAATACCACATCACACCTACTCATAGGTTTAAATGAAACATTGATAGGCCATTATTAATACCCTTTTTTTTTTTTTTAGAATAAAGCAACATTTCCGTTCTCTCTCCCTCTTTTTCTTCCTCTTTCTTCCTCTCCTTCACTTTTTTTCTTTCTTTCCTTCTCTCAAAAAAAGAAATCAACTTGTAGACCTCTAGATCCAGGTCGGCAATGTCTCTCTCATTGCTTGATTTCCCTCCTTCCCTTCTCTCGCTCCCTCCCTCCCTCCCTCCCTTCCTCCTCTCCTCCCTTCCTGCCTTCCTCCCTTCCTCCCTTCCTAAAAAATAAAAAAATTTTTAAAAAGGGTGCATCTTGGGCACCAGAAAACCTATGGTGCTAGGCTGGGCAAGGTGGCTCACACCTGTAATCCCAGCATTTTTGGAGGTTGAGGCTGACAAATCACTAGATCAAGAGATCAAGACCATCCTGGCCAACATGGTGAAACCCCGTCTCTGCGAAAAACACAAAATTAGCTGGGCATGGTGGTGCACTCCTATAATCCCAGCTACTTGGGAGGCTGAGGCAGGAGAATCGCTTGAACCTGGAAGGTGGAGGTTGCAGTGAGCCACGATCATGCCACTGCACTCCAGCCTGGGCGACAGAGTAAGACTCTGTCTTAAAAAAAAAAAAAAAAGCAATGATGCTAAAGAGAAAAAGAAGCCAGGCACGGTGGCTCACTCCTGTAATCGCAGCACTTTGAGAGGCCAAGGCAGGAGGATTGCTTGAGTCCAGGAGTTCAAGACTAGCCTGGACAACATAGCAAGACCCCATCTCTACAAAAAATGTAAAAATTAGCCAGGTGTGGCAGTGCCTGTAGTCC